AAATTGTAAGTGTTAAATGATATACAGGATCTGTGATATATTCAACTTGTGTAATTATGTAACGTACATTTTATTGTATTAAAAGTCTCGCCTCTATTTTAATATTGTATTATGGCTGTACAGTATGTAACTTTTATAAACACACTGCAAGAGCGTGTCCGCTGTTTTAAAAGCGTCGTTTCCAAAATAAAGTTATAATAATTTTATAATAGTAGGCAATAGAAACAGCAAATCATTTTTAAGATTATTAAACATCACCTTTATTTTCATTGTCATTCGTATTTATACAGGCTGTACAAAGATTTGAAATTAAGAACCATTTTCTAATATTGCTTAGCGAACAACCTTTAAAGATCGTCAGAAAAGGTCGGGAAAAAAATTAATTTTTTTTTCTTATTTAGCTTAAATATTTTTCGGAACGCATCTAGGCGAATGAGAAAATAAAAATAAAATTTTAATGATGAACGTAAACAGTGTAATAATGCAACTGATAAATGATTTAAATTTATATAATTAAGGAAGAAATATATATATATATATATATATATACATATATATAATATATATATAACTATTAAAAACATATTTAATATATAACTATTAAAAACAATTAAAACCAAAGAAAAGATTACCATTAAATAAAATAGGTCGGGTCTTCATTGATTAAAGCCCCATTCCCGGCAAAATTTCACTAAAAACTGATTTTTTTTTTAATAGAAAATATGCATTTGCATTACTCCAATTATTATAAATCATGGAAAAATATTGGCATGAATTTTAGTTTTATGCAAAAGAATAACAAAAATGAGAAATACAGACTATTTCTCATAAAATATTACCATTTTCTCGACGAATTCATCGTTACTAGGCAAATTCAGAGGTTGTAGATCGCATCCACTGGAATACTCTCGCTTTTATGTATATTTTATACAGCCAATAAAGTGCGCCCTCTCTAATAAGATTAGTTTTTTTTACTTCGCATCTCGCACAATGCGGTCGTTCGGTTAGGTTGAGATATGTTTGTGTAATTGTCAAAATCTCAGTCAGAATCAGTTTTTTAACAAATTTGAAATAATTCCTATGAAATATTATATTTCACAAGTGTCAATACTAGCAACGGAAAATATCATGTCGGCCGTTTTTATGTGTGATAACAGAACCTAAAATCGAGGTAAGGCTAGGCCTAGCCTAGCAGCGTTGGATAGGCTAATGTTTTCGGCGCCTACGATATTTCTTCTCACGACCTATCGCAAAATCAAAATGAAAAATTCATCCGCATTTATTTTTTTGCGTGGAACACAAAAAAAAATCAAATTTCAGTCTTATTTTACATTTTTTTCATTCTTAGGAATGTCTAAATTCAGTTAAACTAGCAATTCCGTATTATATTTATAAATCTTTATAACATTATACAAAAATTAGATTTTTCTTAAAAACTGAAATTTTGCCGGGAATGGGGCTTTAAAAACAATTCTAATTTTAATCATTCAATCATTTACGCGAGCACGGAATTTATGCCAGCACGCACGCGCGCAAATATTCGATTATATATGAATTCTTATACGCTGTCCATACTAAGTGATGTTAATTATAAAATATAATTGTAAACCAAATTAAGTGTGTGAAATTAATATGCAATGTATGTAACACATATATGGACGGTGTGTACCACGTGACTTTCGTAAACCAAGGAGCGGAATGTCGCAACTCTTTATATATATGGCTCTGT